ATGGAAGAGCGAGAGAAGGGTTAAGAGAGGGAAGGGAGTGTCACTAGTTGGGGGTGGTGATACTCGTTCAAATCTTTGAAGGTCAAGGTTTTCTACCCCTGGCAGCAGTTGGCAATAGGGTGGTGGTTGTGCTCACATTTGCCAGCATAAAAGCTGTAGTTATTATGGAGGGGTGTTAAGGTTTAAGGTTACCAGCTTGAAGAGGGGATATCTAGACCCTGGTACCCAGTATTTATAGCGCTAGAAACCTGGTCGATAGTGGATAACATCAGCGCGCAGTTCAAACGTCAACGCGCAAACTCTACTATCTTTCACTTGATTCACACACAAACCATATACTTTTTTAAATTTAATATTTACCATGTGGCAAATCTTTCATTTTACATCCCATTTTCTATTGGTTGATTTTTACTTTTTTATTTCATCATTTTGAAGAGAAAACAACAAACACTTCTCTGTAAATTTACGTCATTTATTATGAATGTGTTTTCAGAAAAATTCTGTAAAACTGGATCAACATTAAGACTATTATTCATTTACCAAAATATTGTTTAAGACTCCTTCAAATGGAAACCACTTTTACTCTGAATACTTTTATTCTTAATTTACTTATTTTATGTATAATGAACTAAGGCTAAATGAAATGAACTAAATGATCTGCTACCCTATAAGGAGACCCTCACAAAAATTTAATTTATATATCTGAAAGTTGATTTTGAGTACCAAGTGCGAAAGGTATGAGCATGAATGAGCAAGTACTGCTTAATTATAAATATTGCATAGGGTCACTTCAATTGTTTCAACAATTACGCAAGTAGTAATACAAGCTAATGCGAAACTTAATATACTCTTAAATGTCTTTAAAAATAAGTTTAGTTTCTTTAATTTTGGTAAAAATTACGAGAAACTGCAATGCTTTTTATGCAAATGTACAAAATTCTTAAGTTTTTTTTTAGTTTTTGCAAGAAATACCATTATCTTTCGTATTAAAAATAAACAAACTTAACTATGCAACCTTTAAGCATGGACGCGTGTCCAAATTTAAATTAACAAGTTAGAGAATATTAAAGTAAATTTAACTTTTTAGCAATATTTCTAATTTGTTTAAATAAATTGTGACGTTCAAGAATATGCCTCTGCACGCAAGAAAATCGATTTAAACTTGCGTTTTATCTGTTCTTGCGTTGCTAGTAGATAAGAATAAACACGTGACAGTATTAAAAGGTTCTTTTCGACTACCGGCATGACATAATAATAGAAATTATTTTTTCAAATATAGGAAATTTTTTGTAATTATGTTTATATTATTATTACATTATATTCCCTTATTATGTCAAGTGAAATTTTTATCTAAAATAAATTTCAAATTACAATATTTAGAATTGTCATGTTTTGAAAAACCTACTACTATCCGCGAGAAAATGATAGGTCCCTGAAAAATGTTCGAATTTGACTTGAAATATCTCTGTTAAAAAAATTATTTGAAAAAAATGAGACATATTTTTGGCAACTGTAGAATCTCATATATTTGTATACGAAAGGATAATATTGAAAAAAAAATTTTGTACCGTACAGGTGCAAAATTACATCACAGTGTACCCCATTTTTTGACAGTTTCAAAAATGGTCAACTTTGGTACAAGATTTTACACGGAAGCGATTATTCAAAAAATTCAAAAAAAGAACTACTTATTAACTGAATCTGTCAAAACGAATCTGCTTCATAATTATTAATAAATCTTAATTATTATTGTATTTATTAACAATAACAGGAGACAATGTTATCTCTGGTTCTAATAGTCTAATTGAAATAAATCAAATTGGAAGTTGTAAATAATTAATCTTTTTATTATCTTAGCTCATTAAAGAAAACGAAATTCTTCTATTAATTACATTTTTCAACATTTATTTGGACAGTTTTTTTTCTTGAGAACAAGTGTAAAACGGTTGCAAAAACCCAATTTTTTTTGTCAAAATTTTAACCCTGTCATAAATAATACTACGAACTTCTCCAAAATCAACTCAGAACAAAGCTTAAAATTTTTTTCACATAGGCTATACAGTGCATGCCAGATTTTTATTTATGACAGGGTTAAAATTTTGTCAAAAAAAATTGGGTTTTTGCAACCGTTTTACACTTGTTCTCAAGAAAAAAAACTGTCCAAATAAATGTTGAAAAATGTAATTAATAGAAGAATTTCGTTTTTCTTAATGAGCTAAGATAATAAAAAGATTAATTATTTACAACTTCCAATTTGATTTATTTCAATTAGACTATTAGAACCAGAGATAACATTGTCTCCTATTATTGTTAATAAATACAATAATAATTAAGATTTTTTAATAATTATAAAGCAAATTCGTTTAGACAGATTCAGTTAATAAATAGTTCTTTTTTCGAATTTTTTGAATAATCGCTTCCGTGTAAAATCTTGTACCAAAGTCGACCATTTTTGAAAATGTCGAAAAATGGGGTACACTGTGATATAATTCTGCACCTGTACGGTGCAAAAATTTTTTTCCAATATTGGCCTTTCGTATGCAAACATATAAGATTCCACGCTTTCCAAAAATATTTCTCATTTTTTTCAAATAATTTTTTTAACAGAGATATTTCAAGTCAAATTCGAACATTTTTCAGGGGCCTATCATTTTCTCGCGGATAGTAGTGTTAAAACGGGTTCTTCTTAAAAGTACAGATTAATATATGTAACACAAGTTTGTATTTACTTAATTTAAAGAGATTTCTGTTTGAAAAACTGCTTTTTTAAATATTGTATTAGATGCAACAGTGAAAGAGGGAAATGATGCAGAAAGCCAAAGGAGAAAAGTTAGGAAAGAGGGAAAAAAAGAGTTAAGGCTAGTGAGAGTGAGACAAACAATTGTGGTTCGGTGTGCCACCCTCAATAAGGGAGGGGGTAAATACATTAGCGGCCCTCTCATGCGCATCGTTACCGTAGCCGTACTCTCCAATGAGGGGTAGTTATTTTATCATTGGTGGGGGTATTAGGAGTTCGAGAAAGGGACCAGGTTCTGTGCTTTCGCTTCGAGGACTTCAACTACCTACCACCCGAGCGTAAAGGCCGCGCCATTACCAACCTCGAATATTGGTTCTAAAAATCCAGCTGTTGTATTAGAACATTCTTTTTCTTTTAAAAAGATTTATTTTCACTACTAAGTTTTAACTGAATTTCATTTTCCAATAAAAATTAACATTAATATAAACAAAGTTTTAAATATTCACCTAAAAAGTTGTCCAAAAAGGTTTTGGAGGTCGAGATTATTTCTGCGATCTATATTTGACCTTGACGTTCTCCAGAAAAGTCAAAATGATGGAGGCATATCTTTATCACTCAACACTGTGAGTAATTCAGAATTATTAAAATATTTCTGAAATTCTTTATTTTTTATTGTGGAGAAAATAATTCATAAATTTACTTAATTTGACTTTTGAGAAGGAATTGAAAAATAATATTTTTGCATAAAGTATCAACCTACTTTTTTATTATGTTTTTAAAAATTTTATTAAAACTAGTCTTTCTAATAACATTAACATTTTGTGCATATTTCTAATTTTTTTTATATTATTACCTAATGGAGAATAATAAATGTAATACTTGGTAGATCAATGTAGAACTTAAAATTTTTATTTCATTGAAATAATTAGAATGATATTGATTCAATTATTGTCTTGCTGGTAAATATATGACTTAGTGTATCGAGAAACTTAACTTTATTATTACAGTGGTATCTGTTGTTTTTCAAGAAAATAAAATTTTTGTAACTATTATCTTGTTAAGGTAATTTTATGATTTATACTTTTTTCTAATAATATTAAGTTCTTCGGTTTTCTCTAAAAAAAATTTGTGAAAAATGAAAGGAATATTATTGAGAGAAAAAAATGGGTCACGAAACTTCCTACAGGATAGTAAATTAAAAATTTGTTTTTTATAAATTGATTGTTGACCTAGTAGGGCATGTAAGAATTTTATGTTGCTCATAATTAAAATTTGTTCTTTAACCAGTATAATTCGTACATTAAGTTATACATTTGTTTAGTGAGCTTTAGTTAATATATTTCATTCAAAATAAAATTTAGAAAACAATTTTCATTTTAATAGTTTTTTTGTTTCAAAAGAGAGTGATGATCTTGACAATCAAGCTACCAAGGTCACCTCAAATTGCAATCCTCCAATTTCAGTTTGTTTTAAGTTGTGTTTACATTACATCACAGTGTGGACAAATTATTTTCAATTAAAAATTCCTTTTCACCAAACTTTTGTTACTTTCATAAATCCTTGATTTTTAAGAAAGTCTACTTTAATTTTTCCAAATTTATGTCATTAAATATTGTAAGTAATATTTATTAAATAATTTATATATACCTACTAAAATTTTATAGTGCCATTTTTGAGACTCTAAAAATATGAAAATCGTTTCAAGATCAGTATCAATCTTCTTATTAGCATTGACTAGTCTAATAATATGTCAAATAAAATTAATTTAATAATAATTACTTATATATTTTTAAGTATTTACATTATAAATTTTAATAAATAAAAATGAAATTTAACAAATAGGGTAATTTTGTTTTTAATGAAAAAACTTTGTTAATTTTTTCATTCACTCGTGGAAAAATCAAAAGAAAAGTAAGAAATTTCCTTTGTCAATGTATTTAACATCCTACTAAATAAAGCTGTATTCCTTTAAATAACAAAATAAATGAGAAGCGTTGATACCAAGATCTGTTCTGTTCCATAATGATGATAATTTCATATCACAAACTGAAGCTATTGGCTGGTTGTTAATGACGTCAGACAGCGCCATCGAGGAACGTTTGCAAAAATATTTTTTCTATATTGTCAGTCAACTTAAATGAGTCATCGAGCGACTTCTACGTGTTTGTGTACACATGTGCTTACTGCGTATTTCACTGTATTGTTTTAAGCATTTATTTATAACTGAGCATATAATTAATTAAATTTACAATTTATGTTTCAGTAAGTCGTCTACACTGCGAATCCGAGTCCTTCAAAATGGATCTTATTTTGGACATCAACAGTTGGCTTTATCCTATGGAATTAGGTGAGTAGAAATAATTAATTTTTCACTATTTAAGTACTAAAATCATTACTCTAATAATGAAAGTGAACAACATTTTGTTATGCAATTCATAAAGCACGTTACAATACCTTATATTGTAATTATATATCCATGTTGTTTCGGTAAGAAAGCTAAAAAATAATAATCTGAATAGCGTAATTAACCTGATTACATAACATATTTTATCAGATTTAAAAAATAAGTCTGTTTCGAAAAATATATAGATATTATTACGGGAGGATTAATATCTAAACATTATTGTCTATTATTTGTTATTTAAAAATTGCACTTTTATATTACACTGTGTGTAACATTTTTATGGGAGTTAAATTATTTTTTGTTTTTAGTTATTTTTATGATAGATGTTTTAAATTTGTCTGAATCATAATATTAGAATGTTAAAGTTTGTAGTATTGAATGCCTCTCTTATGTGTAAATCTTCTTCACATATGCAATTGTTTTTGTAAGTGCGTCTTCATCATGACATTTATAATCAATGTTTTAACGACTACTTTAAAGCCAATTTCGCGCATTTTCAAATTTTTTTCACTAATTTACCATTTTTCTAAAGCTCAGTGTAGTAGTTGTGCAATTGATGTGACTTAATTTCTTCAAAATAGTCTGCATTTCCAATGCAGCCCCATAACAGTAAATTTTTTCTATATTTACATTTTTATTTTCTATATAAATATTAGTAGTAGTTTTATTATATTATTCAACATTCCTAAAAATTCAATGAACATCCAAAAACAGTACTCCCAATTAAATTTTCATTAACAATTAAGTAGAATCCAAGGCCATGTAATTCTCCTGCTTAATTGTCTCTCAACCCCTTTTGATCAACTCACAAACAGTCCTCCAATAATGCGTAGATGTGTTGGAACCAAATGTTAATTGTAGTGGGAGGTGTTTTTTCTAGGGCTCATGGGTGTCCTGGCATTCGCCCCTGTGTATAAAGATTCATATTTCCTCACTGACATTTCCCAGTTCTTTTAATCGTGTTCCACGTGCTATTCCAATGCAATGTTCAGCAGATCTCTCTCTCTCTCTCTCTCTATTATATCTCACAAATTTCTCATCTCCTTTTTTTGTACTTCTACATATAACTATCAGAAAGCGAATAATGAAGGTTAGTCGGTGGGCTAGGCCGCTGTATTGACGCGCGATTCTCACAGGCTTGCGCGAAATGACGCAATATGTCCCCCCCACGTTTCCATTCCCCCTAACCCCCTCTCTGTTTTGTGCGCCCGCGCGCGACTTTTATCTTCTCTTTGCCCTCACTCTTTCCCTATTTTACGTTATCTCACTTCATCCGTCCTCACTAATGTCTCTCCCCTTCCCCGTAATTCCGCACCCCGTTCCCCACTAGCCAGCAATCCTTCTCCGCGAACATCCCCCCTGCACCATCAAGTTCAATGCCAAGGTCAGAGCTGGCACGACGAGCTGTCGGCCACCAGAGTCGATTCCGGCCGCGCGCGCTAGCTTCTTCGATCTCTTGTAATTCTTCCTCTTCGTCCTTCAAACATACTTCTCCTTTCTAATCAAAAATTCTTATTCCCTATTTTCGGTACTGTTTCTTCCTATAAACCGACATCTCCTTTATCTATTTTTCAAATATCATACTCTTCATTTTCAAATCAATATTCCAAATTTATCTCTGTCATTTGCGTCTAATCTACTTTTCAACCCATCTATTCCAGTGTTACTATGTTTTCTATAGTTACTTACATGATAATGCCAGATACTATAAAACTAAGTTGTGATATATTTTTATAAATTTTTTATAAAAAGTTATTTCACATTCAAAGTGTGATCGGTGGTTATATTCAATTTTTCTTAATATCTGCCGGTCGTATAAAATAACTGATATTTTAATTGTTCTCGTTTTAATGTGTGGCTTTAACCTAGAGCAGTGATTTTTTTATTGTGACCCAAAAGAAATTTTTCAGTTGTAATGGCTTCTTCTTAAAGGAAAAGTTTTTTTTAAAATTGAAATGCTGTTCGACATTTAATTTAATCATTTAATAAATTGTTTTCGAAGCAAAAGTGAAATAACACACTGAAGGAGAATCTCAGACATATATTCATCAATATTACATTCAGTTGTGAAATACAACCAAAATAAAAAAGGATAATATGTAAAATACTTATATTACATATTGCTTATTAGTTTTAAATTGAACGAAGTATGACTTTGAACGTGAACTTTTTTATACATGATTTTAATTATCACAAGTTCCCAGTTGAAAATTTGTTAAGATAAACATGTACATGATTCAGTTACGTGATCTTGCGCATTAATTGCGCAAGAAATTGTGCTTTTTTAATACATGTGATATGTACAAGTTCATGCATGACAAACTCTTTAAATTATGAACATATAGGTAAATACGTACACGATATATTGTACATGTTCATTTGTATAAAAAAAATTTGTCAGAAAATTTTAATTGAAGTACTTTTTTCTTATGCTTATTATAAAGTAATGCGCAGCTGTAAATGCTTAAGAAAACTACTGCGTAGCCTTTAAAGTTTTCATTTTTTACCACTCATAAACAAAAATGAACACATACAAGAGCATGAACATCCTCATGTGTATGTATATATGAATTAAATCGTTATTTAGTAAACATGCACACAAACAAGCACAAGTTCACTTAAACGTGTACATGTCTGTGAACATGATCACGTACTTGTTCATGTTCATAGTTATGTACATTAATTTTCAACTGGTTGTTAATATTTCTCGTCTTGTAAAGTTATTTAAATGATGTTTTTTACAATAATTGTTCATCACAATACTCTAATTTCTTATTAATCACATTTTTTTAAAGTGAAAGATTACAAATTTTAATATGTGAAATTCATGTCGTAATCTCTTTAAAGTTTTTCTTTTATTATTTAAAAATTTTTTTTAACCAGTTCTGAATTATTTTCTTATAAGAATGTCAGCACTCCATCAAAAACATGAATTGAATTACTCGTTACATAACATATCATTAGACTAAATACTTCCTGCATTTTTTTATATTAATATAAACTAGTAACTCGACCGACTTTTGTGCGACACCGTTACACCAATATAGAATGTATTTAACTAATTCAAAACCACCATAGACTGTTAAAACCAGATTTCAATTGGGTATGTTTTCTTTTACCTTCAAAAATAAAATACAATATTATTACCTTATTACAGTTATTAAAAATATTGTTGCAATTAATATATTTAATAGTTTCTTTAAATTTCCTATTTATTAATTAAATTAATTAAAATTAATAAGTAAAATGAAGTAACTTTAAAATTATTTTATTATTGTATCCATAAGTATTTTAAAGTTGTTTTAGTTTGAGTAAAATAATGAACAAAATAATCCGCATTGTTATGTTACACAATTTTGGTTTAAGTAAGTTTTATTTAATAAAATATTAATTTTACAAAATTTGCGCAAAATAATTTTTTTTAACCGAATTCAGTATTTATTAGTTTTATGTTATCATAGTAATCATTATATAATCGTAACAGAAACACGGAAAAAAAATTCTCGATACAGATAGTATTATGTATATTTCTCCCACTTTGTATTATTAATTAATTCAGATCATTTACTGACATATGAGATCCACATTTACAGATGTTGGAATTAATGTAATACTATCATGAGGCGCATGTGAGTAAACTACAGAGTCCTTTTGTTAGAATTTTCCAGAAATGCAATTTTTTCGACAGAGTTTTTATTGAATCGAATTCAAATTAAAGAATTTGAACCAAGTATTATTAATAAATTTCCACTAATTCATATTTAGAGAGAAAAAGAGCGATAATTTTGGTTTCGAACCGATAAAAGCTGTTCTGATACTCTAAATTAATTGATGTATGTAATTAATAAATTTGTTTTTTATTATTATTAACCACCAATCATAATTTTTTAATAGCCTCTGTCATTGCATTTTCAATCAAATGACCATTCTCTTAATTAAATGTTTACTCAAATTCTGTCGAATAAAATTATATCTGAAATTGGAAAATTTAAATAAGACCTTTGTGGCTTTTTCATGTGTCACATCATAACTAAATTTTCTTTCTAACAGTCCTCACCGAAGCATTTCTTTTATATTGAATAATATTAAATATTGTATTCTCTCTGGGTGTGCTACAATTTTTATCTTTTGTTTAATCTTTCTTCCGCCATCCCTGACATTGTAATTTATTATGCATTATGTATGACATTGGTTTTATCAGAGTTAAATGTTTTATCTTTTATAAACACAGCAAAAAATTTTGTTCTTAAAACCAACAACAGATGGAGTTTATAAAGTAGCTTTTGACCCTGATACATAGTAGTTATAATTCACAAATGAACCGAGTTGTGTAGGGCGGACAATTTTACAAATCGACGCCCCCCGACTGTAAAATGTTTATTCGAATCTCCGTGCAATAAAATGTTAACTCAGAAATTCGTGCTGTATAATTGTTTTTAAAAATTTCATGCAATATAATGTTAACTCAAGTTGCATTCAATAAAATGTCAATTCAACCACCAGTGCAATACAATGTTATTTAAAATACTAAAATTTTTATTTCCAGCCTTTAAATTGTATGAGGTTAAATTAGATTATTAATTTATTTATTAAATTACTTAAATAGATTGAAGTTGCAACTGTTGACAGCACAATAATATTCGTATAGTTCCTCATTTATGGGTTAAGTTTTTATAAAAAAGTCAGTAATGCAGAATGTTGAATAAAAGATTATTTTTTTATGGTGAAATATCTGCATAGTTTTCCACTCTTTAGACAAACAGTTTGGTTTTTCTTCAGCAGACCAATTGGTTGAAAAAAAGAGTTATTATATATGTACAGCGTTAAAAACTGCTACAAAATGGAAAACTAAATTCAAAAAAGGGACTGTTAAAGTAATTTTAATATTTTTAAATATTTATAATTTTAATAAAAATAGTTTTCAAAGTTAGAATTAAATAAATTTTATTCTTTCATTTTCCTAATTAATTTAGTATAAGTAAAAAATATTTATAACATAACTTTTTCACTTTCGCAAGAAAAATTCACTAATTATGTTTTTCTTTAACCTCATATAATTTAAAGGCTAGAAATAAAACTTTTAGTATTTTCAATAACATTATATTGCACTGGTGGTTAAATTGACATTTTATTGAATGCAACTTGAGTTAACATTATATTGCATGAAATTTTTAAAAACAATTATACAGCACGAATTTCTGAGTTAACATTTTATTGCACGGAGATTTGAATAAACATTTTATAGTCGGGGGGCGTCGAAATGTATGAGGCTCTATTTAATTTTCTCGAGTTGTATACAGAGGCCTAAGCAACTCTTCTATCCCTTCTTCTTTCGTGAGGAGGAGTGATAATTACGCGATTCGGAAAAATTGACCGTGCAACGCAATTTCGCGTCGGCTAAAATTTTTCTTTCAGTTCAATAATTTTGATTAGGTACGATTAAGACGAAACATGTAAATATGCCAAATATTATAATTTATTACTCTTAGAACTTGTAGTGCCAGAAGTACAAAATGATACAAATTATTTTAGGAGTAGTTATATTAATCTGAAGTTACTTGCATTAAACAAATTTTTAATTTTAATGATACAACTTACTTATTGAATACAAAAATAATTGACTCTTAACCTTTAAAAATTAACCAACCACACCGAAAAAATTTTATTCAAAAATTTAATAAACAGATAATTAAAATTGGGCTATTCGATGCTAGCTACAAAATATTAATAGAGTCATTAGCAAAATGTCACAGCGAAAAGAAGAGAATGTAATAGTAAGTTAATATATTCTCTTCTTTTCGCTGTGACAATCTATTAGTGACACTATTAATATTTTGTTGCAGACACCGAATAGCTCAGGTTTAAAAATTCTTCTTAATAAATATTCGATTATTATGAAAATAATACATGACAAAATGTATCCCATTTAAATTGGACCATTCAGGTATATCAACATTTGAACTATTATTTAATACTTTGTATAGGAAGCTTGATCATCTAATATATACGTAACGCATCTATTATGAATTATACAACATTTAATTCTTTAATTCACTTTTCTATTTAAGTATCTCTCTCTCTTTCGCTCGCTCGCTCTCTCCCTCTTCCCTCTCCTCTTTCTGAAGCTCTCATGTTCGCACTAAGTTCAAGTTGAAAGTCGGCGCATCCAAGGTCGCGCCGACCTTCGTGTCGCAGCACGATCCATATTGCTCACTACTCAGTTTGGTGTTTCCATTCTATTCTATTCGGATTAGTTCGGCAGTTGGTCTGCCTTTACATCCGCCCGCAAGGTCATATAAAATTACTATTTTAACATAAAAGTTATCGTCATTATGGTTATTTAATGAAACACAAATTTCAAACTATATTTTTTTTAGCTTTTAAAAGTTGACAGTTGTTATTCAGCAAAAATTGGTTTTTATCTTAAATTTCTTAATAATAAATTTATATTATATATATATATATATATATATATATATATATATATATATATATATATATATATCTAACAAAAATTGTGACAAAAAGAGGGAATAATGAAGCTGACGCTTTCGCGGAAAATTAAGGAAGATGGCGATGAAAAGTGAGGTCATATTTATTTAGTTTTATGAATTCTCTTTATTAGTTTGGTCCCTTGCTAAGTAAAAAGCCAAAGAAAAAGTAATAAATTACAAAGTTAACTAAAGTCTCGATGTGACGAGAAGTTCTGGAATTATAACACTTGTATTGTACTTTATTAAATGTAAACTTGAATCTTTGGGTGATTTTCCTTACAAAATATAAATATGTTACTTCATTCTTAAAATGAAATCAAGACATATTTTTAAATTTATTATAAAAAGTTTTTTAATGCTGTCATTTTAATTCATAATCTTATTTCTATTTTAAAACGTAAAAATAACATAATATATTTCTTTGTTTTAGTTGAACTAATAAAATATGTAAAAACCTATCAGCATGTATAAAAAAAATAATAAATAATAATAATAATAGTAAAATAAAATATAATAGGAAAATTAATTATTAAGCACATCGCTTACTTTGTAAATATTAGGACATATTCAATAAATTTTTATTTATTTTCCTAAAATTACCATTTTTTCTATAGAAAGAATTTTGTTATGAGAAAATCATTTTAATGTCAATAAATTATCAGGGAAAGTGATAAACTGAATCTTGTGTTCACCTTGCCCCTTAATGAAAATTTTTGGCCCATGTCAGATCAACAATTTAAAAAAATGAAATTTTGAAAAAAGTTCCTTGTTTTTTTTTGTATTAAAATAACATTTAAGTTTAAATATTTTACGTCCATTGAAAAGACACTTCAAAAACGCATGAAATTAACAATTTTTTATTCGGCCTAGAATTAAGATGTTATTGACACTTTGAAAATTAGAAATTTCCCGTTTGATCTACACCCAGGCGGAAATTTCCAACTGTCGCGGATTCTGGCTCGGTATTGGCATTTTACCGCCCGGTTACTGGGCTGGGATCCAAATATTATTTTCAATAAATATAATTGAAAAATAACGCTTGGGAGTTCGAATCTAAGCCTAACCGAATATTTACGCAAACGAAAAAAAAGTTAATATCAAATATTATAAAAGTATTTTACAATAATAGGACAAAATGAGACAAGGCGAAATTTTAAGATCAGAAATACTAAACTTGAAAAAAATTTATATGGAAAATAAAGTTACAGTAGAGACTCCATTATCGGACTAATGGATACAGGCACCTATCCTGATAATAAAAAAGTACAAAATGAACGAATTTTTCATTTATAATTTTATGTATTTAAATATTATTAAAACGAAAAGAAACTCTTAAAGTCAACATTTATAAATCTTTAGTTAGAAATATTTTAAAAGATTCACATAAAAATTTTCTTAAAATCATTAATAAAAATACTTAAAAACGCAACAATTCGTGTGAAAATTCAAAATTTATGGTATTAGATGCTTATAAACTTTAAAATTAAAAAAAAGGTGTTTGAAATTTGTCCGAATAATAGGGGTCCGGATGTACAGTAGGGTGTCTACTGTATATTACAATTTGTTAACACCAAAATTACTCGGAAAGAAAGTCATTATTACATTTTATAAAAGTATTTTACAATAATTGTAGGTCAAAATACAATAAAGCGAAGTTTTTATATCAGAAATACTATACTTTAAAAAACATTATATTAAATTTAGTAAAGTTATATCAAATATCAAAAAAGTTTAACAAATTGTAATATAACTTTATTAAATTTCATATAAATTTTTTTAAAGTTTAGTATTTCTGATATTAAAATTTCGCTTTGACTTATTTTGTCCTACAATTGTAAAGTACTTTTATAATATTTGATATTAACTTTCTTTTCGTGTACGCACGCTAATAAACTCTGCTATACTCGCATGCACCTAGAGAAATGATTTATTTGAATTAAATAAAATTTATTTCAAACAAATAAAAAAGGATATTTGTCACAGAACCAACTAAACTTTTATTTAGCTCAAATAATATTTTTTATTTGAATTAATATATTTCGTTTAAATATCCATTTTTATTTAAATGAAAAAAATTTTATATTTTCTTTAAATATATTTTATATTTAGAGCAAATAAAAAACACTTTTCATTTTAATAAATCCTGTAAGCATTCTAAAATATTAAAATTCACTTATAACCTTCAAATAAATTTAACAATCACAATCACTAATGGAACTTTTAATATTCATTAAAATAAATGTTTATTTTTATAAGAATATTTGTTAAATAAAGTCAGGTTTTTTTATTGTTAGTCATTTTACTTTACTTTTTCACTTCATATGTAAAAGTCCACTGTCACATTTTTCTCACAAAATCTCAAATAAGACACTAAAATGTAAATGAAATCACATACAAATCTGTTACTTTGTACTAATTAAAATTTTCACTTAAAAAGAAAAATTCTGTACTTAAATCAATTAAATTTGTTAACTATTCATGATGAATAAACCTCTTATAATTGTACGCGTTAAACTGTTAAAAGCAAAACATCTTATTGTTTTACTATAGCAATGCAATATGCGCAGGCGTCTACTTATAAGTCAAACAAACATTTATTTGAATCAAATATATTTTTTATTTGCTACAAATATACTATTTCATAAATTGCGAATATATTTCTTAATTTTAGATTAATTAGTGCATTTATTTGAAATAAATATTAGTTTATTTATTTTAAATAAAATATTTATTTGCAACAAATAAATTTTTCTTAAATATACACTTTTAGTTAAAATAAATAACTTTTTTCTCTGGGTGTGGAATTCTCAAATCATAAATGCTTTCTTCAAGTGTCACTATAGCTAAAATAAAAATTAAAAAATTGCTACGCACGGTAATGAACAATTTTCAAATACGGACTGATGTTACTGGTATATTTTAAATTGTATTTAATGATTTTAGTACCTATGAATAATGTACGTATTGTGAATTATATTTGTAATTTTACAAAATTAATATAACATTTTTAAAAATTATTTCTTTTATTTGTTAATTTTAGAAAAGTATGGATAACAATTTTAAAAAAATATAATTTACTCAATAATTGACCACGATTAAGTTCTTTACACTATAACGTAAAGTGAATAGATTGTAAATGTACATTTTTAATTATTTAATTTGCAGAAAAGTGTCAATCAATAATTACTTAATATATTTATTAAATTTTTGTTTCAGGTGATAAATTTCGTTTGGTCTTGGCGACAACTCTCCGCGAGGATGGCTACCCTGATGGTGGCGAATGGAATGCTTTGGAACAAGAGGGTGGCTCGCGAGCTGATAGCTTCGAGTACGTTATGTCTGGCAAGGTATATCGGATAGAAGGAGACGAGGCTAACAACGAACCCAGCAGTAGACTGTAAGTAATTAATATTATCCATACAAATAAAATAAGTTTAATTTTTTACAAAAATTGAAAATGTTATGTGACAATTTCATCCAAAAAAAGATCTCGTTGAACATTATAGTGCACATTGTGAATAAGAGTATTCACTTTTAATATAAGATATTACCATCAACTAAAATAATTTTGGTCACTTAAAACTTGCGTTGATTTACCAAGTATTGATTCTTTACCAAGTAATTCTAGTAATATCCTTCATTTTATTAAAATTTTTATTATATGTTTTCAAAACAAGAATTGTAAATTAAACCATTAGAAGAACAATTTAAAGTGTCCGGAATTAAACTAATTGTTGAAAGTTATGTTATTGACACATGTACTCAAATATTTAAAATATATGTTACATTATTTACGTATATATTTACTCGAAAAAAATGTATTCAAAAAACATTCCTGAATTTATTCAAGAACGGTGGATATGAGAAAAAGTCGACAATAATATTTTTACTTTAAATGAAATAGTTTAAAACATTCTAGAATTATTCTCACACTGAATGGGTTACAAGTTTGAGTTGCAACAAAAATGAGACCCTGGGTGATACTACGTTTTATGGCGTTTAACATTGTCTTATTTTGAGCTGTAACAAAAATGAAACTGAGTTTTTGTGTGTAAACTTATAAAGAGAGATTGAAATTAGATATAGTATAATATAAATATGATATTTTAATGGTTACACAGAGAAAAAAGAATTGTTAATTATTATTAGTTTATTTACTCTCCCTACAATAGGTAGGGTTCGAGACTCCCAAATACATACATTATAATCTTAACCTATATTTATAAAAATCCTTACAACTAAACATTCTCTAAATACAACTTAACCTAAACTCAACTCCTCCACGCTCTCAACCTTACGCTCTTAACCTATCGCCAGTGCCGGGCTTCCGTTTCCAGTTCCTTCTATGCCCATGCTGGCTTCGACCCAATTCGCCCACCCTTTTTCAAAAACCTTCTACTCCTTTCTCACCTCTCTTACACCCTCCAGTCATCCACTTTTACCCATCCATCTATTCATCCAAGCAAAATCTTCTCACCTCATTCTCAGCCTATCCCTGTCTATCACACTTTACACGCTTCCATCCCTCCACCCGTATCCTCCCTCACAACATACTTTACCCCATCCACCCAAATACAATCTTTACCCATTCTTACCTGTTTTCCATTCACTCCCTCCGTCCTCGCTCTTTCTCTCAATAGCCATAACATTCTTCTCTCTCTCCAACATCTATCCTCATCTATTCTTATTACACTTCCTTCCAGTCTTCCTTTCACCCTCATCACATCTATTTTCTCTTCCTCACTACCCAACTCCACCAACCATAACTTTGGTACCTCATATTCACCCCTTCCTAACGCTTGTACCATTTTCACTGAGACATTAACCCCCACCCACGCCAACACTTTTTCCACTTCTCTTTTACCCTCCAACACACCTACATTCATACCTCTGATCACTACATTCTTTTTCCTTTTTTCATTTTCTACTACATCCACTCGTCTTGACAAATCTCCCATTTTCCACTTTAACCTCTCATATTCACTTCCCTCAACTTCCTCAGTCCCCTCATTCACTTCCTTTATAAATTTTTCCAATCCATTCATTCTTCTCCACATGCTTTCCTTTTCCTTTTGCTACTTACTATCCCATTCATTCCACATTTCCTGCAATTTCTCCAACCTCTCTTCAATTTCCACTATCTCTTTGTCCCTTGATTCCCCATCCTCATACATATCCATCAAATTTCCCTTCACTCTTTTAGCTCCTTCATCCATCACATCCATCCTCACACGTCATCTTTTTTCCATTCTTTCCTATCCCCCTTTCAAATACTCGCGCCTTTTCCTCATTCTCGCTAACACTACTTGGGTCAAACTCAGCCATTCCAGAAATCTACCTTATCACTCCAATGCTCAAAATTTTCCACTGTCTCTCTCTCCTCTCTCTCACTTCAAGCAACCTAACCTCACAAAACACACTTTTCTTTTTTACCTTTTTTTATCACTTATACATTCACTACTCTATACAAACATACCTTTCCTTTACACTATCGCCAATTACACTACACACTCAACACTCTACACTACCCACCCTTTTTTAAAACCTTTAAATTTCTCAAAAAAAAAATCTTAACTCTTTTCAAACGCGTGTACACCGAAACGGTACCGGAAACGGAAGTTAAAAAGAATTGTTAATATAGAACTAACAATTTTTTGTTACCTCAACAGATTTATTGTTATTAGAAAAAATTTGAATTGTTAGGACAAATGTTAGCACATTGATGCTACCTGATATCATCTATTTTTAACCATCAAAATCTTACCATTTATTCTCCTCAGTAAATAGGTTTAAATAGAAAAATAATTTTAAGTGATTTTGTTTAATTGAAATTAGTTTGTAAGCTTAATCCCAATATATAGAAAATACCTACTGCTTTGATTCAAAAATATTATTTGTTTCAATAATTATGTTTAATTCAAACATATTTTCTGTTTTGATTTAAAAAGAAATTAGGGAGCGTTCACAAATGATGTCACGCTTCTGGGATTAGGGGGGGGGGTCTGACTAAACATGGCACAATGTATTTTTCTCATGTGAAGTGCAAATATTGCGTTATGTATAAAAATGATTAATGTGTTAAACATGTTATGTTTAAAAATTGTATGTTTGATTCAAACTTATAAGTTAATTATAAATGATTTAAAAACAACCATAACTTACGTTTAAATTAAATATATTACTTCTTTAAATGAACCAAAAAATATGTTTCACTTAAATATGTTTGACTGTATTCAAACATATTTTAAGTTTGATTTAAACAAAATATGTTTGAATCAAATAAATCGTTTTCTCAAGACTGAGAAAACTGGAGTATTGGACTAAGCATCTGGAGGGACAAATCCTTCATATTTGAGAGTTAGCTATTGGATAACAATCTAAATGTTCAAATACACCATTGACAGATATTCGTGCCATTTCTCTTGGAGGGAAAATGAGTTTATAACAGAGGGACAAATTAACCATCTTGAGAAATCCCTTCCTTATCCGGCGCGAAATGAATAAATATGGCAACCTAACCCCTAAATTAAATACATAAAATGTCAGAAAAATAATTTCGCGCGCATCAGATCGTACACATTTTCTGCGCAACTTTTAACCCTCAGATATAATGGGAGAGAATATACAAGTAGATTTCCATTATCAATTCAAAATTTATTTTAGAAGGACTATTTAACTCTCTTCATAAGCAAAGGAAACATAAACTTTTTGAACCTCCGAATTTGACACTCCAGTTTTCTCAGTGAATGAATAATTAAATTCTTCTCAGAAATTCAATTATTTGAAATAATTATCTTCAATTCAATGATTTTCAATATCTACTATTTTTATAAAATTTTCCAAAACAATTCAATTATTTTTAAAAAAATTTAATAAAATTCTTCGCAAACTTTTAATTCTTTTCAAAAAATAATAAAAATTTCACAGGAATTTCATTATTTACAAATTTCTTCACAATCATTGAATTATTTTTATAAATAATAAAATTTTTACGGGGATTCAATTATTTTCGTAAATAATAAAATTCTTTTTAGGAATTCAATTATTTTCATAAATAATAAAACTCATCGCAGAATTTCAATTATTTTTAATATAATTTTAATCGAATTCCTAGAAAAAATTCTTTAAAAATTTTATTAAAATTGAATTGTAAACAAATAAATTTGAAAATTCTGAAAGAAATTTTTTTTAAATTATTAAAAATAATTATTGCAAAAATTCAATTATTTTCAAGAGTAATAATATTCTTAGTAAAATTTAAATATTGTTCAAAAGTAATAGAATTCTTCTTAGGGATTCAATGATTTTTACAAATAATAAAACTGATTGCAGAATTTAAATTATTTTTAATACAATTTTAATTAAATTTCTCGAAAAATGTAATTATTCTTAAAAATTTTATTAAAATTCGTTGATATAATTCAATTATTTAAAAATTTGTTGAGAACGATTCTTTATGGGAATTGAATTTTAAGAAACATTCAATTATTCAATAAATTATTTATTTACATTTTATTTGTATTTAAATAATTGAATTCTAATAGAATTTTCTAATAAAAATTGATTTAAAAATTAATTTCAGGTAAAATTTTAAATAATAATTGAATATTAATAGCAATATAGCGTGAATATTTAATAATAATTAAATTTTGAAATTAATTTTTTTGAAAAAGTTTAAATGAATTTTTTTTATATTATTTGAAGTTTTTATTTTCTAATATATATTTAATTGAATAATTTACGAATAATTGAAATTTCGTTAAATTGAATATTGTAATGAAATGAATTTGAAAATTGTCAAAGAACTTTTTTGAATATTATTAAAAATAATCGATTTAAAGAAAAATTTTAGTTAAAAATTCTTATAAATAATAATATCACTCGGTCATCTTTGATTATTATAAAACATGAAAAACCGATGACTCCAAATCGAAGACTCAGAGTTAACAATATCTTCATGTTTTATAGTTATGAAAAATTTTAATTTATAGATTATATTCTATTCTTGGAAAAGATAAAATTCTTGAAAACTTAAAATATATGTAATAGTATTTTGTGAAAAAATATAGATTTGATTTAAGAAATTTAAGTATTTATTTGTTTTTCTGAAACTAAAGAAATATGATCAGCTGTCAATGTATAATTACCCTATTAGTGGACTTTTTATCAACGTCAACAGATGGCAGCATCAAAATCTAAGTAATAGACAATTTAAGTTAAACCTGAATTAAAGATTCATTTAGATTTACTTTGTTTTACTTGAAGTCATAAATATTATACTAATAAAACTGGTTTTGTTATTAAAATATTTCTTAAATTTATCTCATTATATTGTATATATTTTTTTTAAATTTATTTAAATGTATTCATTTTTTTTCAAAAAATTAAAAATATTTT